CCTTAGAGCCAGTCATCCTATCTAGCACCTAGTGCAGACCAAGGGCAAACACAGTAGGGACATGTGGACCCCAAGTTCTGGATAACTGAGGCCTGGTAGGCCCCTGCAGCAGCAGATTTGAAGAGACAGACACAGCTAAAAACAAAATCAGTAACATAGAACACAACGTTCACATAGCCAAAAGACACTGGTCAAAGCCAAAACATTCAGTGGCCACTATTATTCCTATATTTAACTTGGCTTGCCAGATTTTCTTCTCCATCCCTAGCTTCCCAGAACCAGGCAGCAAAGTAACTTTTCTCGGGTGCCTTGGGCAGCAGGCAAACAAAACACAGAACAAAACACAGGGGACCATGAATCAGGCAATACAAAAGAACAAAACAAAACAAAAAAATCAGATGAGCAGTGCACATGCTTGCTAGTGCCCTGGACAGGAGTACATAGACCTCCTCAGGTACCTCTCTGCCCTCCAGATGGGACCTCAGAGACACAGATGTCACAGAAGAAGACACCTTCTATGACTTACCGATGGAAGCCTCCTCAGACAGGTGCCTGCTGCCTTCTTGGCCGTGCAGCAGTTTGGTCCAACAACTGGCCGAATCTAAAGCATGCCTCCCTTAGCAGTAAGTGGTATTCCATTTGCTCCCGAGCCAGGCTACAGCTTGCCAATAAAAGAAACCTTTGTTTTTGCATTTAGTGTGTTGCCTCCTTTTTGGGGTCCTGCGAACTGGGCATAACATTATTGTGTGTGCGTGTGTGTGTGTGTGTGTGTGTGTGTGTGTGTGTGTGTGTGTGTGTGTCTATATATATCATGGTCCCAAGGATTGAATCCAGGGCCTTTAACATAGCAGACAAGTGCCCCGCCACAGGCCCACATCCCAGTCCTACATCTGAAGGCTCTGAGCAGCCTGGTGGACACCAGTGTTTCTGGCTGAGATGTGCGGTTTTTCTGATTGCTGGTAAATTAACTGTACAGTATTACTCAAGTGTCCACTTATGCCCGCTTTGCCAGGTTACTCTTCCCTCCAATGCAGTTGAAATGATTTGTCCTTTTTTTGATGAAAATAAATACTTTATTTTATTATGAGGAGGGACACACATGTGCCTGCCACAGCACACATCTTGAGGTCAGTTGAGGTTAGAGGAAGGCCTGTGGGCATTGGCCCTCTCCCGCCATTACGTGAGTCCTTGGGATCAAACTCAGGTTGTCAGGTTCAGCAGCAGGTACCTAATCTATGGAAGCATCTCACCTGGCCCCAAATTATTATGGAGGAGACTTGGGGGCAGGGATCACTTTGTGGAGTCAGTTCTCTCCATCCATCTTTGTTTTGCGTAGGTTCTGGGACTACACTCAGGTGGCCAGGCTTCCCCACTAAATCATCTCATCCTCCTTTTTATGAATTTGAAAGCCATGTCCATTAATTTGAGCTAGTGATCTCTTCCCAGCTATGTGCACTGTGGATCCTGCTTTGTCTATAGCTCATCCTGTAGCTGTGCTTCTGGAATCTCCTTTGGTAGCAAAGTTTTAAGTGTTAATAAAGTCAAACATATGACTTATGGTTTGTGCCTTTGATGACTTGTAAGAAATCTTCCATCCTGAAATCATACAAAACCTTTTATTATTTTTTTAAAGTGGTTCTCTCTATGTAACCCTGGCTGTCCCAGAGCTCTATGTAGACCAGGCTGGCCTTGAACTCACAGAGATCCACCTGCCTCTGCCTCCCCCTCCTGAGTACTGGGATTAAAGACATGTGCCACCAACGCCCGGCTCGTATAAATGCTTATAACTTTTTTCTAAAGGCTTCATTGTTCAGCTCTTCACATTTAGCCTCTGCTCCATCTGGAATGTATTTTTGTGTAAGACATAAGGTAGGAATCTAATTTTAATTTCCCCCCATATGGGTAGATGATAGCTGTGTCAGCCTTCCCCTGACTGGGAATGTTTGCTCCATCAAACCCCACACCTCCCACACCTCCCACACCTCTCTAAGAGCCACAGTCTGTTTCTCTCTTCCCAGCTCAGTTGCCTCAGCGGGTTTCCCATTCCAAATACAACGGTAAACACTGATAGCTTTGTAGTGAATCTTGGCTTATGGCAGGGTAAGGCCACCCCTTCTCTCCATAGCCTGTTCCCCAAATCCATCTTTAGCTATGTTTTTGTTATTGCTGTTATTTTTGAGACAAGGTCTGGCTATGTAGCCCTGGCTGACAGGGTTGCTAGCCAGGCTGGCTTTGAACTCACAGAGATCCACCTTCCTTTGCCTCCGAGTGCTGGGATTGAAAGTGTGCGCCACATGCCCAACCTCTGGAGTTTTTGTTGTTTTTGCTGTGACTATTGACCCAAAACAAAGTGTCTCCCCACAGGTGGCTTTAAACAACCCCTAAGGAGTAAAGGGAGAGGCTGAAGATGCAATCTTCACCTGTGGCTTCCTGAGCAGGAGGAAGAAAAAGCTGACCCTTAGTGACCACTCATGGAGGCCTGTGGATGGGCGTAAAGCCTCTTGGGGCTCAGAAGATCATGAAGCAGCCCTGCTCTGGAATGGTTATCACCAAGGAGACAAGCCTCGGCCAGGCCTGTGGGGGATATCTGGATGAGGCTGATGAAAGTGGGAAGACCCACCTGAAAGCAGGCGAATCATTCCCTGACCACAAAAAAAGATGTAGAAAGCAATATAAATGTCTGAACATTTCAAAGCATGACTTAAAAAACTGAAGGAGAGGGGTCTGCTGCGACCCAGGGTGCTTAGAGGTTAAGGGTGCCTCTTGCTTTCCCCTCTTGCTTTCCCAGAGATAGCAAGCTCAGTTTCCACCACCCAGGCAGGGGGTAAGGGGAGGCTCACAGATGCCTATAACTCCAGATTCAGATGTGACACCCTCTGCTGGCCTCCATGGGCACCTGTATGTATGTGATACAGAAAACACCCACACACACACACACACACACACGCACGCACGCACGCACGCACGCACGCACGCACGCACTCATGCACAGAGTAGAGAGAAGGAAAAAAAGTCAAAGAATAAATAAAGAGGAGGAAGCAGGCTGAGCACCGACAATGACTGCTGCTTGCTCACTGACTGTTGGCTGTAACACAGAGAGCCGTCTCCTGCTCCTGCTGCCAGAACTTTCCCCGCTGTTGTGGAATGTGTCCTTGGCTGGGAGTCCAGCTAACCCTTTGCTCATTTATAAGAGGAAATGAAACTAAGACACCACTTCTCTCCTCAAACATCCCTGGTATAGGGTGCTGGCTTGCTGTGGATGCCTGAGGCAAGGAGAGGTGAGTCTACCATCCTAAGGGCATGGCTCTGGAATGGCCCCCAGGCCTTCAGTGGTAACAGATGTAGAGCAGGAAAGAGGAGCTCAAGTTGTCCTCTCTGGAGCCACTGACAAATTAGGAACTGTCACCTCAAATCTCACAGCAGAGTAAGCTGCACCCATCTTGTCCCCTGTTGCATCTCGAGACTTCTGTTACTTAGGTCCTGCTCCCCTGTCCTAAGCTGGCCCCTGGTCCATCCCTCCACCTAAACCATGATTGACATTGTCTGGCCCCTAGTCCATCCCTCCAGCTAAGCCATGATTGACATTGTCTGGCCCCTAGTCCATCCCTCCAGCTAAGCCATGATTGTCACTGTTAGTCACGTGTCTCCCCCAGGACATGCACTAAGTGATCCTGGAGAAAGCAGGGACCAGAGACACAACAGTAAAAACACAAGGATCTGCAATTTACCATTTATTACCTGTGGGACTCAGTATTTGTCCATCTCTAAAATGGAGGAATATGCATAAATAGGGATGTTTTGGCTCTTCATCCACACAGAGGCACGGGGCAGATTATAAGTGTTCCCAACTACATCCTAGACTCAATCTCTCTACCCTCAAGCTTGAGTATAGAGCCTAGCAGTCCTAAGTATCCATTGATACTGGCCCAATAAAAACATCTCAGTCAGCTCTAAGAGTTCCAGTCTGAGAAAACCCTTTGGGTTTTGACAGCTCATGAGAGCCCAACTCTCAGGATGAGTCATAGATATGTTCAAGGAGCATTCAATACAAGTGGACTCTTAGGGGACTATGTAGACTGAAACCCAGACCAAGAGCAAAGGTCCTGTTAAGAGTCATGACCAGAGGTCAAGTGAAACCATTAGCAAAGACCCATGATCCAAGAGCATGACACAGTTGGACTCCCATCAGGGGTAGTAATCACCCAGTCTTTCCCAGTCAAATCTGTGTTTCAGGAGGAGGACACAAGCAGGCTGGGTGAGGCAGGGTCCCCAGGAGCAGGTCCACCCTCATGGCATCCCACTCCCGCCCTGGCCCTGCCTCCCTCAGTCTGAGTGCCTGCCTCACAGGGGTGAGCCGTCAGTCTGCATGGAGTCTTGGGCTGAGGACAGAGGGCATCTTCAGTGGGAGGATCCTGGAAGGTGGATGTGCCGTAGATGGTGCAGTTAGACACAGTCAGCAGAGAGAATGGTGGTCCCTCTAGAACACAGAGGACCCAGATATGCTCTGACAGAGACGTGTGGCTGGCTATGGTAAGGAAGCTCCCTGGTTCTGCTGTGGTTGGAAATGCCTCAGAAGACAGGCCGGTGATGGGCACTGCCCACATCTTAGTATTCTTCCCAGCAGGGTCACCAGAGTTCCTGGAGCAGGATGGTTTTAGAAACAGGAGCCAGGCTGGTGTGGGGAGGAGCTAGGGGTTGGCCAGAGCTCCCCAGTTGACTAAAAGTTCCTGGGGAGCTTACACAATCTGCCTGGGTTTCAAGAGCCACTAAGGAAGGAAGTGGTCACCAAAGGAAGGGAGGCTAGAGTCATTGAGAGACACTGGCCCAGGTCTCTATCCATGTAGACTGCCCTAGTGGCAATGGTCCTCCAGAGGGGAGAGACCAGGGGTCCACGGGCCCTCTCCATTGTACTTTTGGTCATCTTTCTTGAGGAAAGTGTGGCCCCAACAGTCTGGACCATCTATGCTGTAGGAAGTTGCTGCTCTGCTGGGACTCAGCCCTCAGTTCCCAGGCTCCACCTCCAGGGCAGCTGCCTTGGAAGACTGGAGTCGGCTTCTAGAGATGCTAGCATATTCCACAGACAGTTTTGGGTCGGGATGGGAGTTGCTAGAGATGGAGTCCTGAGGGCTCACGTGGTTGAGGTGGATGAGGGAAGCATAGCAGATGGTCTCAGTATCATCACTGGAGAGGATCTGCTGATTGAATCCCTGAGAATCAAAGAAAACAGATGAGTGGTGAAAGAATAGCAGCTGGAGTGACCAGTGGCCAGGACAGGGCAGGAGAACAGGGTCGGAGTTTAAGATGCAGAACACAGGCTGGAGAGGTGGTAGGTGGTTGAGAGTACTGGTTGCTTTTCCAGAGGACGTGGGCTCAATTCCCAGCACCCTCATGGCAGCTCACAATTGTGTGTTAACTCCAGTCCCAGGGGATCTGAGTCCCTTTTCTAACCACCTCAAACACTGCAAGCACATGGTACATATACATTCAGGCAAAACACTCACAAACATAAAAATAAAGAAACCTTTTCTTTACAAAGATATGGGATGTGGCAGTTGCCTTTCCTACCACTGAGCTGAGAAGCACTGGTCTCCCCAGGCTCCTTTTCCAAACTGGAATCAAGCTTCACTCCAAATCCATGAAAGCAAAGACCCTGGGGGTGGGGACTAAGAAGCCATTAATTTGCATATTTTTCAATGTTGGGGACGGAACACAGAGTCTTGCATATGCACAGTAAAGACTACCACTGAGCTACAGCCCCCAGGCCTTGTGTTTTTGATACTGGGTCTCATTATGTTGCCCAGGCTGGCTTGAAATTGGAGGCCATCCTACTTCAGTCTCATAAATGCTGGGATTACTGTCCTAACCACCATACCCTTCAAGAAACTTTTAAACAAGTTCTCTGGGTGAATCCTATGCACATTCAAGATGGAACAGGGTTGAGTTAGCATTATGCAGAGGTCCCAATTAGGTGGCTTTGGAGCCTTTTAATTTTGTGAGTCTTTGGTACCATGAGTCTTGGGTCTGCAAGAGACACAGAGCTACCCAAACCACCTAGTCCTCAAGAGGACTCAGGGAACATGGTTCATCACATTTTCCCACTCTGACTGGACAGCTAGTCTGTAGGCTGGTTGGGGACCTAAGACATAGGAAAGATGGTCTCACATAGAGGTAATGACCAGGATCTGGTCCTACCAACCTCCCCTCTCTTTGTCTAGTCTCTCTCTCTGTCTCTGTCTCTTATCTCTGGCTCTCACTCTTGCTCTCTCTCTCTCTAGTTTGAATTCAGGAACACAAAAAGGAAACATGCAAAAGGTCATGAGGATGAGGACATGAGCAGTCATGAGTGTGTGCCACCACTTAGACGAAATAGAAACTGAATGCAGACCAAAGTTCACAAGGACACGTGTACACCAGAAAGCACAGTTCACAAGGACACATGTACACCAGAAAGCACAGTTCACAAGGACACGTGTGCACCAGAAAGCACGGTTCACAAGGACACGTGTACACTGGAAAGCACAGTTCACAAGGACACGTGTGCACCAAAAAGCACAGTTCACAAGGACACATGTGCACCAGAAAGCTAAGCTTCCCTAGGTCCCAGAGGATAGTGGTTCCTACTTACAGTGGTTTCTTCCTTCTGACCTGGAAAGTCTTCATAGATATGGTGACATTTGTTCTCAACTGTGATGAAACAAGAAAGTTAGTGGGGGAACTTCCCATGTCCTACCCCACCCATTTCCTAAGGTAAAACCAGGCTGGGACCCTGATGGAGGAGAGGCCAGGACTTGGCCAAAGGATGGATTCTGCCTATGGAGCTTCCAAGCACTAAGCACTGAGTGGTGTCCAAGGGTTCTAGGAAGCCTGATGACCAGGCTGCCTGTGTCTGCTCTGCATAAACTCAGTCAATGTCATGGTCAGTTTCAGGTCAGTCACTGTAAATTCCATATGTATTTAAACATCAGGTTTAAATACAGTCTGTCCACCGGTGGGGTTGTGTATAGTAAGAGGTTGGCTTCCTGGTTTCTTGCGTGAAAAGCTCCCACTTGTAATTCTAGCATTGGAGAGGTGGAGAGAGGCTCACCAGTATCACCCAAGGTCCCAGTGAGAGACTGTCTCCAAAGAACAATGTGGACAGTTCCTGAGGAACAACACTCCAGGTTTTCCTCTGGCTTCTATACGTGTGTGCACACACACGTGTATACATATGTCCATGAATATGCACCCCTGCACACTCACAACCACACACACACACACACACACACACATTCACACACACACACACACACACCCCTAACTGAGCCTGAGTTCTTACTGTGGGGGCTAACGCTCGGTGGTAGCATTGTGTTTAACATGCCCAGGGCCTCAGTTCTGTCCTTAGTACCACAAATTATTGTGTATACTTTAAAATGTGTATATATAATATTACATGCTATATGATATTGAATTTATATAATAAAATGGTTAATAATGTAAAACAATAAATATATCTGTCCTCTCATAATTACTAATTGGTCTGGTTTTATTCCTGTTGCTGTGACAATATCCTGACACAGGAGAGAGAAGGGTCATGGGCTGACACAGGAAAGAGAAGGGTCATGGGCTGACACAGGAGAGGGCAGGGTCATGTGCTAACCATTACAAGTTACAGTCCATCATTTCAGGAAGTTGAGGCAAGAACTCAAGAGGCTAGACATACCACACACACAACCAAGAAAGAGCAAAGAAAATAACACATCCTGCTTGCTCTCAGCTGGATTTTTGTTCATAACCCCCTGACTAGGGAATGGTTCTGCCTATGTGGGCTAGGTTTACCATATCCACTAACAATCATGATAACCTCTCCTGTGTACATGCTCTCAGACTAACCTGATATAGAGAATTCTTTGTTAAGATTCTCTTCCCAGGTAATTCTACACATGTCAAGTTGACAGTTAAAACACATTCATATCCCTCCTGTGGCAAGAGCAGTTACAAGCCACTCACTCGGCAAAAACATAGGCTATGACATACTATTCTTACCCATAGTCTTCATATTGTACATTAAATCCTTTGACTCGTTCATTCTACATAGTTGCTACTTTATATTTTTTGACCCACATACATCTCTGCACTTCCTCATACTGAGAAAAACAAAATTTAAAAATGATAGCAACATGCACTTCAATATCATCAACCAGAAAGTTCTTTATGTAGATTTCACAAGCCCCTAATCATAAAGTTGAAAAAATCAGGGACTGGAGAGATGGCTCAGTAGTGAAGAACACTGACTGTTCTTCAAGATAACCCTGGTTCCATTCCCAGCACACACGTGGTGGATGACAACTCTCTATGACTCTAGTTCCAAGTGGTCTGATGGGCACCAGACACACACATGATGCCTAAGCGTCCATACACATGAAATAAAATAATAAAAAAATTAAGGTGCTAAAAGCATATGATCCAAAATCCTACCAAAGTTGGGGTGCCTGTAGGTAAGCCAACCTGAAAGTTTAGTGGAACTGGTTCCCCCACCCCCACCCACATCACATGGGGCCACCAGGCCTGCCACCTTGTGAAGGAGAAGGGAGCCCTTGCCCTTCAGGTCAGTTTCCTTGACAGGAAAACAAACCACATGGCTCACCTTTCTGGGCTTTTCCTCGAGCATTCCTGAGGTACAGGACCACAAGGACGACAAGTCCCAGCACCAGCAGGATAGCCACTGCTACACCACCAATGATGACCTTCCACATCCAGTTATCTGGGGGACTTTGGAACAAAGATTCTCAGGGTGAGGATTCAGAGCCCAGAACACTGCCTGCCAGAAAACCTTCCTTCCCCAGACCTGCAATTCCCACAAGTCCACCTACTACCCAGCCTCTTCTGGGGTTCTCTGCTCAGCTGGGCAGGGGCAACTTTAATATGCAGTGGCTAGACCTGCCTTGTAGGTCCTGCAGTCTCCATAATAGGATAATGCTGGTAATATTCTCCTTTTCTGTCTCCTGCCCCTAACTTCCTTTGAGACCCTGAACTTGCCAGTTGCAGCCTCCTTCCTTCAGAGACCTTTGTCCCACCCGACAGCTTTACCTCAGCCCTTCTCTGTGAGATGCAGCCAGCTCCCAGGAGAATTGGGGAACATGACAAACAGCTCTGCCAGCTAAGTGCATTCCCACATGTCCCACTTTGGGTCCAAAGAGGGACCTGAAGGCAGAGACAAGCACACTTGTCGAAGCCTCTGGGGAAGGGGTCTGAGTGACAGGATCATAGAGAAAGATGTGTCTGGCCCATCTCAGATCAGCTGTTTCTGGTTTAGTCTTTAGACAAGGAGTGGTCTACAAGACCCTGGGATCCACTGTCTTCAGGGACGCTGGGTTCAGAAAGAAGTAGATGGCTGGAGCCAAGGGCCTGGGGCCTGGAAGCACATCGGCAGACATGGAAAGATTCCAGATCATGAGATCAGGAACTGCAGGCTTGCCTTTCTCCAGACTCAACACAACTCCCTTACAACAACCCTGCTCACACTGAAGGACGAGAGGAGGGCGGACATAAAGGTGCAGTGCAGTCGCACAAGGGCGCAAGCGGGGTGGGGTGGGGGGCTCCTCTCCAATCAGTGCTCCAGTCCATCCTCACTGCACTCCAGGAGATGGTGGTACTGAATGGAGGACAGCCATGTCCTTCAAGGCCATCTGGTGACAGCTTTAGTGGCTATTTGTACTACTGGCCATGCATGGTCAAGGACACTGTCAAACATCTTAAAAGGCATAAAACAGCCTCTTGTAACAAAGATTTAGCCAGCTGCAAATGTCAAGAGCCTCGGCTGGTGGCACAGGCCCATCACTCAGGAGGATGAGGCAGGAAGACTAAAAGCTCAAGGTTTAATTCACTTAATAGAGTGAATTAAAGATCAGCTTAAGTTATTAAATGAAATCACAGTCACAACATAGAAGGTATAAGACCAAGAGTACAGAACAGTCAGAATTCCTGCTCAGAAAATGTGAGGTCTCAGATTTGGTCTTCATCATAAAAGATAGACAGATGATATTTAGATGGATAGATAGATAGATAGATAGATAGATAGATAGATAGATAGATAGGCAATTGATAGAAAATGGATAGGTAGACAGGAATATAGATGATAGATAGATGGATGATTGCTATATAGATATAAATTGATGATAGATGATAAACAGGAAGATGATAAATAGAAAGATAGATAGATAGATGATAGGTAGATAATAGGTAGACAAATATGGGAATATTACTGTAATCTCATTTTGCAGAAGGGAAAACTGAGGCCTATACAAAATGATCAGAAGTGATCAGCTGACTCTATCCATCCTGTGACAGCTGTGCATCTATCAGGTGACAGTTGGGGAACTATAGTCAGGAGAATGGGAGGAAACACAAGACTCAGAGTCCACTGTACCTGTCAACGACAGGGCTGGTAGCAGAGGCCAGGGCTGTTGTCATCCAGGAAGTCTTGCGTGTGGTTGGAGCTGTAAGAGACCTAATGAGCACAGCATCTGTCTTTTCATGCCCCCAGCACCCCAGTCTCCAGGCCTGGAAGAGGAGGAGCCCACACATGGCCCTGGAGCCAGCCAGGGAGGATGCTGCTCTGCACAGAAAGGTGATGCCCTGCTGTGAATGGGGCTGGAGTCAAGTCCTGAGAAAAGCCGCAGTGCACATGACTGTAAATGAAGCCTCACACGTTCCAGGGCCTCTCCAGCTTCCTGTGTTCTTTCATTCTAAATTTTTATTATTTTTCATTATGTGTCTGTGGTGGTGATAAGTACATGTGAGTGCAGTGCCCACGGAGACCAGAGGTATCATATCCACTGGAGCTTGAGTCACAGGCTGTTGTGAGCCATCTGAAGAGGGGGCTGGGAACTGAACTCAGGTCCTCTGTGAGAGCAGCAAGCACTCTAACCACTGAGCCATTTGTCAAGCCTCCAGTGTTCTTTTAAAAATGTGTGAGTTTATATACATGTGTGTGCATGTTTGTATATATGCAAGTACACATGTGCATGGGTATATGTATATGTGTACTTGTTCATGTGTGTATACATATGTATGTGTACATATGTATGTATGTGTACATTTTCATATATGCATATGCACATGTATGCATGTGTATACATATGTGTACATGTGTGTATACATGTGTGTACATGTGTATATATGTACATATGTGTGCATGCGTATGTGTACATTTTCATATATGCATGTGCACGTGTGTGCATGTGTGTATGCATATGTATACATATGTGTACATGTGTGTATGCATGTGTCTGTGTACGTGTGTGTATATATGTGTATATGTATGTGTGCATGTGTATGTGTACATTTTCATATATGCATGTGCATGTGTGTATGCATATGTATACATATGTGTACATGTGTATATATGTGTATATGTATGTGCGCATGTGTATGTGTATATGTGAGGCTAAAAGGCAATTTTAGATGTCTTTACTCAGGTGTAATCCATTTCATTTTTATTTAATTTAATTTTTGAGAGAGACTGGGTTTCTCACTGACTCGGACCTTGTCAGTGAGTCACAGGGATACTCCTGTCCCCACCTCCCCAGCACTGGGATTGCAAGCATGTGCCTCCATGCCCAGCTCTTTCTTTAATGTGTGTTTGCAAATGGAGCTTGCACACTGTCTCAGGTAAGTTTTCCATATTTGTGATTTTAAAAAACTGTGTCAAAAGCAACTTATGAGAGAGAGAGTCTGTTGTGGCACACAGTTCAGAGTAGAGTCCACCATAGCAAGGAGGCCAAGGCAACAGACGCTGGAAGCCGCTGGCTACAGTGCATCTACAGTCAGGGAGAAGCCATGCATGTACTTAGCTCATTTCCCTGTTATACTGAATGCAAGACCCCGAGCTTAGGGAATGGTGCTGCATACTTTTAGAATGGGGTCTCCCCACCTCAAGCTGAGATACTCCCTCACTGGTATGGCCAGAGTCTTGTTTCCATGGCGATTCGAGGTTCCGCCCCATTGACAGCTAAAGCCACCACTCATGGCAAGCACATTACTGGCTGAGTCATCTCCCCAGGCCTGTGTCCACTATGTTTGAACATGTAAAGGGCACACCTAATGCCTCCCCTACATGGAGTGTGCCTAGGCCAAAGGTTATTTCCTAAAAATAACTCCAGGCATCCATTGAGACATAGGGCTGCCATGCTCTACCGCAGGGGAAGTACTGGGGGTGTCATTCAGTGAGCATGTGAACATGACAGACTAACTCAGAAAGTCTTTCACCACTGCAGGCTTCAGCATGAGATACACAGGAGACTCAAGTCAGCAGCAGCAGCCTCTGGGCCACCTTCCCAGGGCTCAGGGCTTTTCAGTCGTCAAGAGCAGATCCAGAACAAGGGCCAAAATCTGTCAGCCTTCCCCACAAAGTCTCCCGGGAGCCTCTCTGTCTACCTGTCTCCTCCCAATGTCTCTCTCTCTCAGTGCCCCCTCCATTTGATCTGAGGTCTCTCTCTTGTGATGGAGACCACCACCCCTGGAGAGAAGGTTCCTGATGGGATTATAGGCAAAGGACATTCAGGAATGGATGCCTGTGACAGCTGGGGAGGGATGGGGGGGGATAAGGGCCTTCAATAATCAGATTTCTGTCAGCAGCAGCAGAGTTAGGAGTAACAGGTAAGAACGGCCCAGAGACCAGAAAGCCTGGGATCTAGGGTTGGCTCTGCCCTGAATCATCCGGTGGCCTAGGCAGAGGGAGGGGGCTTTCTGCCCTGTGCCCCAGCTTACAGCTACTAGAGGAAGCAGTTCCTAGAGTCCTTTCCAACTCTCGAGCCTGTGACTCAGGAAGGCTGAGAGCCACATAGAAGGGGGATGCTCACCTTTTGACACCACCAGGTGGACGCTTCTGAGAACAGAGATTTCTCTATGACTTTCTAGGATCCCACAGTAATAGAGACCGGAGTTTCTCATCTTCAGTGCAGTCATGGTGACTGTGAAGAAGTTAGATACAGCATGGTCCTGGATGAAGTATCGTGATCGCTGAGCATCTCTGCCTAAACTCGACACTAAGATTTTACAAGTTTCTTCTGGTGCTTGCTGACACCAGATCTTCTCCTTGAAGCGTTGGCTGGGATCATACTTGCAGTCCACAAAAATGGTCTGGCCCTCCACTGTTTGAAGAACCACTGTGCCCTGTGCCCAGGAGCCTGAGAACAGACAAACCCTCCAGGTCAGAGAGCCCCCAGCCTCCACAGCAGGGCTAGGAGATGGGTTCCCTTCTCAGGGAGTGACCCTCTTTCTGTCTATGTTCTGGATATAGCTTAGAGCCAGCCACTGGCCACAACACTCCATGTGTTCTGCCCTCCCAAGCACAGAGTCCCATTTGCTTACACCTCTCAACACCTTCCGTATCTTCTCCCTGGTTCCTTCCCTCTACCCTTGTCCCCTGTCCTCACCTGAGGCCAGGAACACCAATAGGATGGCAGATAACAGGTATGTGGCCTCCCAGGCCATAGGTCCTCTTCTTGAGCTGGGATGAGGAGCAGGGAAGGAGGTAGGGATGCTCTGAGGAGAAGAGACCAGGGCAGGGCAGGATCCGGGCAGCAACCACAGCCGGTGGGGGATGAACTGTTGAGGGAGCAGAGACCTCCGTGGACAAGAGGGAAGCTGATCAAGGCCTGTGTGGCCCTGTGGATCTTCAGCCACAGGCTTTGTGTCTAGGCTCCTGAACTGAACTAGATAAAGGCTCTCGGAGATGCTGTAGTCTCCTGCCTCATAAGACCAGGGTGAGGAAAGCTGAGAAGTCCTAGGAGGAAACCATAGTGAAGTAAGAGTATGCTCATTTCTCCTCAGCACCACCTGCAAGTCCCCCACTTCCTCTTTAGCATCAAGTTTCTGTTCTCCACCCAAGTCTGGCTCCCACTGACAGCAGGTGACAGTACCAGAGGCCCTCTGGAGACCTGGCTAGAACTCTAAGACCACCTTGCCCTCAGGGGTCAGAACCTTGCTGAGTGGCCCACCTGGGAACCAGAAAGCTCCATGTGGACTCGGGTAGACACTCATTCTGAGGAATGGGAGACCACAAAGCTGGTTATGAAGGAAGAGAGCTCAGAAGAAGGGAAGACAAGGGGCAGCCCCAGGCCCCGTGTTACCCCATATGCCCAGCTTCCCAACACATCACACCCACTGCTAAGCATCATTTGAAAGACTACCCATCAAACACATTTCAAAATTAACTGTCACAGGACAGCAAGGTGGCTCAGCAGGGAAGGACACTTGCCACCAAGACTGATAACCTGAGTTTGAGCTCCGTGACCCACATGGTGGAAGGAAAAAACCAACTCCCAAAAGTTGTCCTCTGACTTCCACGCATGTGAAATATTTAAAGTAAATAAATAAAACTATTATTACATGAGCTACAGAAAAACATCAATAACTACAGGCTGTTCATAGTTAACAGATAAGCAAGGAGAGAATCAAGCATGATGGTACATACTCTAATCCTAGTCCTTGGAGGGTGGAGGCGGGAGGATGTGAGGTCAAGTTCAACCTTGGCTACATAGCAAATTCAGCCAGGGCTCCATGAGATCCTGTCTCAAATAAACAAATAAATAAAAAGAATTTACAAACTACAATAATGGGGAAGCCCCTTTAAGTGACAATGCCATGTAGCAGCCAGTATGCCAGGGGACAGGGCTGACCCAGATTGACACAGGACTTGTGAAAGGCTCTGGGGAGGAAAGGGACAGAGTTGTAGACAGTACATGTAGACAGCATGAGGAAGCCCAGGCTACCTTATGAGCTCTGGGAGGTAGAGTGAGCCTTTGACCAAGTTGGCAGAGAGGCGCTAAGCCTTTAGATACCAGTGTCAGTCAGTCTGTGGTAAGGCAGCGTGTCTTGGGAAGGTGTCTTTCACCAGCTAACTGACTAGCTGAGGTGACTTCTGTCTCCTCACCCCTCCCAAGAGGGAGAAAGGAGTCTTCGGATGCTGAGGGCAGATCTGACAGCACCCATCACTGTAAGCAGAGCAAGGCAGGTGTCTGCACCCACACTGTACACAGTTCTGGAGAGGGCACGGTGTGGGGGGAGGGGGGAGGGGGGAAGGCGTGGGAGGTGTCCCATCTCTATGCTGTTAGCTCAGGAAGCTGCTGTGTCTTCAAGGCACATGCATCCCTGGCCTGTCTGATACCCCTGCTGTTTGCCCCTCCCAGCCCCCCCCCACCTATTTTGTTTCTTGGTTCCCTGGAGCACCAGAAAGAAAGGCTAGAAGATGAAGGAGGAAGAGACTGGTCTGGAGTTTTGAGAAAAGAGCCTCAGAATCCGTGCAGGCCACAGGAAGTGAGGAGATGGGTATCTACAGCAACTCCTCAGTTCCCAGCAACTCCTCCCCTACTATGGAGTTCCCAAGGGGGTAGGCATGAGAGTGAACAGCTCTCGTGCATCCATCGCTGGCTTACAGAAACCCCTGGCCTGATCACATGAGTGGGAAATCACTCTCATACTCTCCTGTTTAACCTCTCTTTCACTGAAGTCCTCCATGACTCACTAGCTGTGGCTTGTCCCTGGCCTCTGCAGTCCATATAGCTCCTTCTGGGGCAGCCTTCCCCAGGTTCCAAGGTGCATCGGCCCGTGCTGTCTCTGCATGCACACCCCTAGGACCTCCTGCAGGCCTCACCCATCTCCTGCCCCCAGCCCCTGCCCTGGCTTCATGTAGCACACTCCTCCATGAAGCCTCATCAAGCATCTTGAGCTCCCAGGATCTCCAAGCTCTGCTCCCTGAAGAACTCCAGCATGTCCTGCCACCTGCACCATAGCGTCCGACCCTGCCTGAGGGTCATGTGTGTGAACTACACGATGTCTTCTCTTCCCTCAGTCACTATCAGACTGAGGCAGGAGCTGTCTGACTTCCTTTTCCTGCTGCCCTGCCTCTCTCGATAACTGAGTTGTGCTCATGAATCGACAGACATACACATGGTTTTGCCATAGGAGGTGGTACACAGGAGCCTCAACCTTCTCCATCTTCCTGTCCAGGAAAGGGACAGTGACTGTGGTCACACTCAGATGAAAGGCTGCAATGGGGATTTGAACTCAGGTCTTGATTTCAGTACCACTGTCCTACCATGTACCTTAAAATTCACAGGAGGTCTCACTGAAGAGGCCACTGTAGTGGTCTGAAGGAGATGTCCCCCATAGTCTCAGGTATTTGAACACTTGGCACCCAGGTGGTAGTGCTGTTAGGAGGTGTGGCCTTACTGGAGGAAGTATATCACAGGGAGTGAGTTTTGAGAGCCTAAGACATTACCTTATTCTGAGCTTGTTCTCTCTGCTTCCTGCTTGTGGACCAAAATGTGAGCTTGGAGCATCCTGTTCTAGCCTGCTGCATGCTGCTAGATCAGTAGCCCCAAATGAATCCTTTCTTTTCTAAGTTGCCCTTGTCATGGTGTGTCCTGGACCAGCAGGCTTCAGTGCAGGATCATGAGAGGAAGGACCAGGAATGAGAAAAATGAAGAAGATAGGAAAGATGGAACCAGGAAATCTTGTATAAGCTGATAACTTATGCCCTGCAGATTTTTAAGAAGTACAATATTTTGTATATGGTTTGCAGAGGGGAAATTGGAGAGAGTCAGCAGAAAGTTATCACATACTGGAATGAAGACAGCAGGAAGCTGATCAGGCAATGAAACACAAAACTAACACAGATATCTCACATGTGTTACAGAGAGAACACATAGCGACCTTGGGACTGATGACCACAGCTCGTTGGTGGGGAAGAATTAGGTTCCCAGGGTCTGAAGTCACAGCTTCCCCAAGAACCCAGCCCCAGGCTATTACTGGCTTTGCCCAGCATGGGTCTGGGGTAAGACCAGGAACTACATTCCTTCTCCATACTTCAGGGCCCCAGGGAAACCTAGGACCAGCCAGTCCCCAACAGCAGTGTTTTATCACAGCAACTGAAAAGTAACTAGTATAGCCACCCTCACAGAGCTGCAGTGTGAGCACAGAAGGGGAGGAGACAGGGGAGGTCAAGCAAGTTGATAGAATTAATTCTCAACTTGACACAGCCTAGAGTCTCCTGGAAAGGGTGCCTCAAATAATGGATGATTACCCTGCTCACACTGGCCTGTGGACATGTCTCTGGGGATTGTCATGGTTGTTAGCTGATATAAGGAGGGTCCAGTCCACTGTGGGAGACACCATTCCCTTGGCAAGAGGTCCTGCTCTGTATAAGAAAGCTAACAGTCCAGGCCTGTGAGCAGGCAAGCCAGCAGGCTGCATTCCTCTGTGGTCTCTGCTTCAGCCCCTACCTGAGTTCCTGTCTCAACTTCCTTCAAAGGTGGACTGTGACCTAGAGGCATAAGCCAAATAAGCCCTTTCCTCCCTCAGTTGCTTTTGGTCAGAATGGCTGGTTTTTGTTGTTTTTTTTTAAAAGATTTTCCTCACTGGGTGTGTTTGTGTGTATCTCATGTGGCTGAGCTGCCTGAGGAGGACTAGAAAGGGCATCAGATACCTGGAACTGGAGTTACAGGCAGCTATGAGCTGCCCAATGTGGGTGCTGGAAACTGAACCTGAGTCTTGCAGGAGCAATAAGCACGTTAACCATGGGACATCTGTGCAGCCCCTGGTCAGAGTGCTTCAATCACAACAAAGTAGTCAGGTGACACTCACGGAGTCGCACAGTGTTTATGTCATTTCATTGCATCCCCCAAACACTCTTTAGAGGTAGGAATTATTGCCCCCTTTCATAAGAGAGGCAAAACTGAGGCCCTGATAGGGTTCATGGCTTGGTCAGGGTCACACAGGGATCATTGGTTCTTACACTGAGTGCCTGTCCATGTGCTGTCCATAAATCAGGGCTGTCAGGGCCAATGAAGGTGCATGGCCAGGAATGGAGGAGGGACTCTGGGGGTGCTGTGAGTCTGTCTTCCCAGTTGCCCACTAGGGTGGTGGCTCTACACAGATTGCTTGTTAGCCAGAGGTGTGTTGTGTGTGTGTGTGTGTGTGTGTGTGTGTGTGTGTGTGTGTGTGTGTGTGTCCTTCCTTCTAGAACTTGATTTTTCAGTTGCTCAGCCTGCGTTCTCTCCTCTGTCGTGTTCTATCAGAAGTTACTCTCTTCTGTTCCCAAGTTTACACCTTGGCTCTTTTATCTTTCCAAAGCCATCCTGGAGTACAACCAAGGCCCCAGCTGTGTCACCCTCCTGTGATGTTTGCTGTCCCATTAGGAGGTCCCTGACTCAGGGCTGAGAGTATAGATACTGTATTTGGCTCAGGGATCTTTGAAGCCCTCATGAGCTAGTATGTATCTGTACTAGGGAGACAGTTCATCCCACAGCCCATTGCCCACAACCCACTGCCCACAGCTCACTGCCCACAACCTATAACCCACAGCCATCACTGCTCCTCTCTGGACCAATGATCTAGATAGTAGAGACTGAGTCTGTGGTGTGTGTAGGAAGGAGGTAGCGTCCATAGGCCATTGGACCCCCGGGCTGTGTGTGTCCGTGTGTCTGCCTATCTTTCTAGGCTAGAATCCTCTTTGTCAATGCTCCAAACCTAGTCCTCCATTCACTGATATTTTAAGCAGGGTACCTTCATGTGGTCTTTTTTTCATAAGTGGTCATGTGTTGGCTCTGTGGCCAACCATAGAGTCTGGAAGAGGGGCCCTCTCAAAGGGGCTGCAGACACCTCAAGGTGTAGGCTGTGCCCTCAGTCTCCCTCATGAGCTCATCCCTGTGGCATGGGTGCAAGGACTGGACTGGGGAGTCTACATTCAGCCTTTGCACCCGTCTTGGGAAAGGCTGGCCCTGTAGCTGAAGGTTCTCGTTGTCCCAAGAGGGGCTGGCAGTCAGAAAACAAGAGAAATGTGTAATGTGCAGGATTCCAGGACAGAAGGGACGAGCAGCCACTGTCAGGGCAAATCAGAAGACACACAGCCTTGGTCAGCTCTGGGACCTCCTGCTACCAGTTCTTCTGTGTCCCCAAGTTCTTAGTCACTGTCCCTTCTCATCCAGAACAGGGCTCCAGAGACATTGGCTGCCTCAAGGGCTCATAAGCCTTGGCTCTTGTCTCCAAACATATGGAGATGTTTGTAGGGAGCAGAGGGAAGACAGAGTGGCCCTGAGGGAAGGAAGGCAGCTGTGCTGTCCTCCTGCCCCAGGGCCATTGCCTGGTCTTCAGCTCTCTTCTGGCTTCTGAGGCCACTGGAATCATCTTCCTAGATCACTGACTTATCTTAGACCAAGCAGGCTTCCACAGTGTCTCTGGTCTTTCAGGAAGGTGTATCCAGGGTTTAGCAGAGTTGCTGCCCAAGTTGTAGCCTACAACAAACAGGGAGAGGTAAAGAAGGGTCATGCCCTGCTCTCGGTGCCCCAATGCCCCAGGGTAATCTTTGACCCTCTCTAGCCTCTGCAATATTCCTTCATCCCCTTAAGGGACATGTGGGTCTACCCATGCCTGGCCACCCTCCTTCCCTACTGCATGTCACTGGTCATCTTGCCTGGACACAGGTAGAGGGCTATTTCCCAGCCAAGGACTCAGTGTCACAATCCTTAGAGTAGGGACTCGTATCTTGACTCTGGGAGCCAGGGGGTTACTTGTGGTTATATATTATTTATGGTTTGTTAAAGCTTGCCTGAGGGTTCAGAGAGCAAAGCTAGCCACCAGCCATAGAAGTCAGGCAATGGTGATACACACCTTTAATTCTAGCAGCCATACTAGCAAGCCATAGAGCCAGGCAGTGGTGGCACACACCTTTAATCCCAGGACTCAGGAGATAGGCAGATGGATCTCTCTGAGTTCAAGGCAACCCTGGTCTATACAAAAATGAAGACTAAAAGAGCTCATGCCTTTGATCCCAGAACTTGGGATCACACACCTTTAATCCCAGGGAGGTGGAGACAGGAGAATGTGACTGGGTAGAGAGAGGAATATAAGGAGGAGGAGATAGGAACTCAGAGTCTTTTGCCTCTGAGGATTCAGGAGACAGGATTGGCATTTCAGTTAGGTAAGATCCATTTACTGGCTTGGCTGCTTTGCTTCTCTGATCTTAAGCTTGAAACTTGAACCCCAATGTCTGTCTCTGGGTTTTTATTATCTGTGTCATAGTGACTCAACTTACTTCCCATGTGCCTCTTCTTCCAAAACCCATAGACCATAACCAACACCATAGGTGCCAGAAGGAGTGTCGGCACCACAGCCATCACAGGGAAGTACGTCTCCTGGGACCTGAGGAGGCAGGGCAGGTGAAGAGTAAGCACCAGGTCCCCACAGACCCAGCAGGCAGCCTCACAGCACTCCCTATAGATACATGCATCCTCTCTCTGTGTCTCTCTCTGTCTCTCTCTGTCTCTCTCTGTCTCTCTCTGTCTGTCTCTCTCTCTCTCTCTCTCTCTCTCTCTCTCTCTCTCTCTGTATTAGATGTGGGAAGACGGCAGTGTGTCAACAGGCAGAAGAGAGCACCTTCATCTGACACCTCTCCTCCAGTCCTCATCTCCTCAAGTCCTTTCATCAGTGAAGACAAGGGCATTACAAAATGGCCCTAGAGGACTCGGGACACCAAGATTGTTGCCTCCGTAGTGCCATAGTGACTGAGGACTCCTCTTGCCCCTTTATCTCCTGTCACTAAAGGCAGCACCATCCTTTTGGCTGGAGCCCTTTATGCTGCCCCCTACCAGTGGAGAACAAAAGGTGGCATATCACTGTCCTATCTCCTTGGCCTTGAGTAGGCATCTGCCACAAGATGCCCAGTGAGATGATGTTCTTGCCTGCACAGAAGAGGCTGCCCCAAGCATGGTTTGCCAGCCAACTTCCATTCTCTGTCCCACTTCCACCCTCTTCCCAGTGCTCTGGGTAAAATGCTTGTCTTTATCTCAGTGTCTGGGGGAACTCAAATAAGCACCCACACTTCCCATTTCCCAACCCCTTGCCCTGGCCCTTCCTTCTCCTCTCCACCCATACTCTTGACCTTCATGTCCGTTGTCTTCCATTAGGACCCTTCCCAGTTCTCACAACTCACTGCTGAATAGCAGTGAGCTAGACTGAGTTCACGGGGTGCAATAGGGAGTGCTGAGTGCAGAAGTGGCCTCTTGAGATCTATTGGGCTCTGAGAGCTGGGGCCACACTTGGTAAAATATCACATAACCTGTTGAGGGTTAACTGGTGGCCCATCCCCGTGGTGGACAAGCCACTGCTCAGGTGTCTGGACACAGTGGAGATGGTCACTGGATCAGCAGAGAAGGGTCTCGAATTGCTAGGAGACACGGTCATTGGCTGGGGCTCTGTGCTCCTCCTGGGCTCTATGATGGTGCCACTGGAATCGGTGAAACTGTAACTTGTCACGGGGGTTGGTGCAGTGGTCCCTGAGGCCAAGGTGAGGAGTCCAGATGTGAACACAGTCAAGTCAGGGGTGAAGGGGGCGTGAGGGCCTGACATGGGGACCTTGCCCGTTGTGACAAATCCACTCTTGAGGGTGTTGGTTAGATGCGTGCGAGGAATGTTTCTCTCAGTTGTGAGGGCTAAGGGACCAGAGAGGAAGAAATAATAGATTAAGTCAAAGGCTTGAGTGCCAGGGACAGAATTCACAGCCCCTCAGCTGCGCGGACACTGGGGAGAACCTGCCTCTCCATGACTTTGGGCTTGGTTTCTGAATGCTCTTTCGGAGAGTGGCAGGAAGGAGGAAGTAGATATGTGAGGAAGGAAGACACTAGAACAATCTCTCCAGTCTCCCCTTTCAGGACTATTCTCAGAGCACAGCGTCATCTTTCTTCCTAGCTCCCCAGTCTCTTTCCAGGCTGTTTGTAATCATGAGCAGAGATTTCCTTTTAAAATGACGTGTGTGTGTGTGTGTGTGTGTGTGTGTGTGTGTGTTTGTGTATATGTGCGTGCGTGCGTGTGCATGCCTGTGTGTTTGTGTGTGTGCATATGTGTGTGTGTGTGCGTTTGTGTATATGTGCGTGCGTGTGTGCATGTGCGTGTGTGTGCGTGTGTGTGCATGCCTGTGTGTGTGCATGTGCATGTGTGTGTGTGTGTGTGTGTGTGCCTTTGTGTGTGTGTGTGTGTGTGTGTGTGTGTGTGTGTGTGTGTGTGTGTGTGTAGGTTAGGGACAACTTGCAGGAATCAGTTCTGTTATTCCATCATATGGGTCCTGGGGTTTGAACCCAGGTTACCAGGCTTGATGGCAAGTGCTGTTACCCACTGAGCCACCTCACTGCCCCCTTAAGAGATATTTCTATAACGTTATGTTGTATAAAGGTAACTGCTTCATAATTGTCAGATGGGGACTGAGAACTGGGAACAGAGAGGAGCCAAGGGTCCCACATTCAAGAGGAAACTGCAAAGAGCTGTGGTCAGACACCCTCCTCGCTGTACACTCAGACACACGGGAGCAGATCCTGCGCCTCAGACCATCATTCCAACCCTTTACCAGCAACAACAGCAGCAGCGTGGGATCTGGACAGCGTGTGGGAACCACAACCAGAAGTTCCGTCTTGTGAGGAGCCACAGACACAGACACAGACACAGAAACACTCCCAACCCCACTACTAGGCATAGAAAATACACGTTGTTCCTGAGGCCAGTGGTTCCTGTGCAGGGAGGCCTGAGCCGATGTTCTGAGCAATGAAGGCTGAACATCAGTGTAGATGAGAAAGATGCAGGGAGAGGTCAACTCATGGCTTAGACTCCCCCTTAAAGACACCCCAGTAGTCTCTAGTAGCTCTCCGAAAGGGTAGCTGGACAGAGCAAGTTTCAAAGCATCGCAAGAAAGGACTCAGCCAGTAGAGGGCCTCCCATGCCTGCTATCTGACTCACACCACTAATGCCCTTCCCTCATTCCTACTAACCAGTGGTGTGTGCTGGAGAGACCATCAAGAAAGGGTGCAAGAGGAAACCATCCCCACATCCAAAGATGAAGGAGCTGGGCAGGAGAGCAGCTGTTTCCCCAGCCCGTTGTTCTGGGTTACAAGACCTGGTTGCTGGGGTGGAGCACATACTGCTATCAGAGTTGTAATTGGGCTGAGGCTTAAGTACCTTCTTCCATTTTCGTTTATTTATTTGGGGGTGGGCACACACATTCCTGATACGAGTTTGTCGATCAAAGGACAACTCGTGGCAGCCAGTTCTCTCCTGCTACATCTTCTTAGGGATCAAACTCCGACCAATCGGGTTTGGCATCAAGCGTTTTTTGCCACTGAAACACCGGCAAAGCTGAAACCTCCCCAGGATTATGAAGCAGAAAATGGAGATATGGAGGGGGAAGCTCTGTCAGTAATGCTTGCCATGCAAACATAAGGACCTGAGTTCAACTCCCGAAACCCAACCATGGTGCACACGCTTACAACCCATGCTGGGGAGGCAGAGATGGGGAATTCCTGGGGTCACTGGCCTGACAGCCTAACCTACCTGGCAACTTCCAGGTTAGTGACAGACACTGTCTCAAAGAAAATAAGAGAGCAGATGACACCTGAGGTTTTCACTGGCCTCCCTATATACATGCACACACACAGTTGGACTCTCTCTCTCTCTCTCAACACACACACACACACACACACACACACACACACACACACTGATAAGAGAAATGATGATAGAAAAAGTCCATTTCACTATGGCATCCCTCCAAATGAAGACCCCAGAGTCAGTTTCACCTGCTTCTGGGGTTGACATAGAACCAGAGCAAAGGAATGAGATTTGGCCCCATAGCTGGAAGGGAAAGCTCTCCCTGGTTCTGACCAGGGAGGATGGAGATGACGCTCAGCTCAGAGGAGCAGGGAATGGCAGGTGGTGGGCACTGAGAGGCAGGTGGTAATAGATGAACTCAACTCTGTGCTTTTTTAGATGTTCTGTATATTTTGGGCACAGATGTGCCCAAGTCCCACTTGTCCAAGCCACTATTATTTCCAATCAGGCATCGCCTCCTGATTGGCCTCCTCTCACACCCGTCCACCATTTGTAAGCAGTGATTGTTGCCGTTGGTGGCACATGCCTTTATAATCCCAGCACTCGGGAGGCAGAGGCAGGTGGATCTCTGTGAGTTCTAGACCAGACTGGTATACAAGAGCTAGTTCCAAGACAGCCTCCAAAGCCACAGAGAAACCCTGTCTCGAAAAACCAAAAAAAAAAAAAAAAAAAGAAAGAAAAGAAGGGGCTGAGGACATGGCTCAGTCATGCCTCAAAAGCATGCAAACCTGGGCACCCTGGTGTGTGTGTTTTTAATCTGGGCATCCAGGAACCCACTTGGCATGCTCTAGGGCAGTGAGAAATCCTGTCTTAAAAACAATGTGGACAGCTCCTAAGGAATGACACCTGAGCTTGACCTTTGGTCTTCACATATACACAGTATGCCCTCACATAAGCTACACATACATACACAGAGTGGGGGAGCAAAGGAAGATATAACATGTTTCTCTTCCTGTTACAGTTAGAATTAGACCCATTTCTGTATCATGGAATTGAGGACCGCTTGACTCTACAAGCCAAAACAAAAGCAATGTGTTAGACTGGTGCAGTGCTGCACACCTTTAATCCCAGCCCTCGGCAGGCAGAGGCAGGATCTCTGTGAGCTCAAGGTTAGTCTAGTCGACATAGTGAGTTCTAGACCAGCCAGGGTTACATGTGAGACCCTGTCCCAAAATAAACAAATAAATGCAACCAATTACTATAAATCTTACTGTTCCTTTTCCCTAATCCTCTCTTCCACACCCGGAGTAGACAAGCCATGACAATCCTTTTGCAGGTCGTGTTGTGTCTCACCTCAGGGCCGTTGCTCATAAGGCTGTCCTTGTAGATGCGCTTCTGAGCATGGGCGAGCCCTCCTCCCCGGAGCCCCCTGACACTGAGTAACTAGTCCATCATTGCTTTTTAAGCACATACATTGTGCTATGCCATGATTTGTCTGGCATCCCCACTGGGCAGGACTGTGGCTGGTTTTGTTCATCATTATATTCTCAAAGCCTGTAACAATGTGGGGCACACCCTGAGCTCAGTGAGTACATAACATTCAGATAACTGCCTCTCCTCTGCACAGGGCAAGGCCAGAACCACAGAGTTTGATATCTTTGTAAAAAGGTGACAGGAAGATGTCCACAGTGAAGAACCACTCCTATACTATCCCTCCCACCCCAGCTCTGGGCAGGTCTGCTCACCTGGATATACTTCCAGCAGGAAACCCACCAAGGGGTAGAGATTCCCAGCTGTGTTCCGCATACACCAGTATCTTCCGGAGTCCTGGACTCTGAGGGCCTCCATGGTGATGTGGACCACTTTGGCCTTGGCATCATCCTGCATCGTGTAGCTGGGCCCCTTCACCCAGCTCCTCGTGAAGCTGGGGTCACACTTCTTCCTCCTGACCTTGCACCAAGCCTTGCCCTCTGTGCGGTTCCTGCGGTTCTTGTAGGAGCACTGCACAGACAGAGACTCCCCTTCACGCCGCCACACTCTCTTGTACACGTCCTCATTGGAGGGACCTGGGGAGACAGGACTTGCTGAGCAAGAACTGGAGAGGAAGAAGACATCTTGAAACTGGCAGCTGGGGTGGGGGAAGATGCTGCAGCCACGACTTTTGTGGAGCTCAGCATGAGTTGAAGCAGAGCCCCGCCCTTGTGTCTGAGGAAAGAAGCACAGACCCCACTATCAGCTCACTTCCAGTCTGATGGAGGAGTCCCAGTCCAGTGAGGAAACAACCTTAGCAGGAGAGCTCCACCAGATACAGTCCCCTTGCGTCTGGACATTTTCTGGTCTTCAGGGATGCCCAGTATTTCAGGGAGCCCCAAATCCTGCCTGAGACAGATGTGCAGACACAAACAGGTCACCAAGCAATGGAACCTGCGAGCACAAACTACTGTGGTGATGACATGTCCCATATCTGGGAAAATGATGAAGAATTATTTCCCCCAATAATAATTTTTCCTTCTCCCCCCTTTCTCTCTTCCCTCCCTGCTCTCTCTGCTTTGTTTTGCACCTAGTATTGGAGATCATACTCAGTGCCTCAAGCATGTTGGGCAGGCACTCTACCACTGAGCCACACCCCTGCCCTCTATTGAATAACTTTTAAGTAGCACTCTCCATGGTGCTTAATTTTAAGTATTGTAGTTACATAAAACTCATAGATAAAACATGCTGCATTATTCACTGTTCACCCAATGTTTCAATGTTGCAACTTGACTTTGTCATCTGTAAATGTATTGGGCAAGTCATAGCTATCCCAGGATGCATGGGGCCAGCAGACCACAGGCCAGACATGCCTGGTAGAGTTCTATGCCTTGGAGTAAGGTGTGGCTCATGCCTGTAACAGCATAAGGGAAACTGAGGTAGGAAGATCTAGAGTTTAAGGCTATCCTGGAACACCTAGTAAGTGGAAACAAAACCCTATCTCTAAAGAGAAAAAGAAGCCTGGGGAGATGGTTTATAAAGCCAGCTAAGCGTGAGAGCCTCGATTCAAATCCCAAAACTCATGCAAAATGCCAAGTACCATCACTGTGCACCTGTAACTCCAGTGATGGGCTGGTGGGGGGTGGGGCAAGAGGGTGGACCGGTCTGTACTTGTGTATATAGCACACACACATACAAAGGAGGGAGAGAGAATGAATATAAATGAATATATTTATGTGGTCTGTGTCCATCATAATCCAATCTGTTGAAGAAAGTGAGCGTAGAGCTAGAGGGGGCAGGATGATTCAGGGGACAGAGGGAGGAAGGACAGGGAAGCCACTTGTCACTGTAGCTGAAGCTCTGACTCTTCTTCCCTTGCAAAGTAACAGAACAGAGCAGGTCTCTCAATCTCACCTCCCCAAAGAGCAGCAGAGATGGGGCCACCTGGAGGAAGCCTCTAGGGGGTCCTTGGTTTACTTGTGCCTTCTGTCAAACAGTGAGGGGTGGGTTTGGCAGCCCTCACCATACCCAGAAAGGAACAGGAAGTGGTAAGTGGTTGCCTTGGCAGCCAGGAAGGCAGGAATGGGTGAGCCTCCTGCAGAGACTAGCCTTGAGTAGGAAAAGGCCTTTGAAGATTGGTTCCCTTCAGGTCAAAGCAGGGGGACCGGATATGGCGTCAGCATTCCGAGAAACATGAAATTCAAAGTGTGCCGACATGCTACAAAGACTCACACCACCACCGGTGCGAACTCTCTTGACAAACAAAAGCCAAGCATGTAATTTATGTGAGGAAATTCTCCACACCAAGGAAACTTAGCAGATAAAGACCAATATAGAGGATACAGTTACACCCTCCTGTGAGGCCTGGCGAGGTTCTGCCTGGGGCCAGATATTAGCATGCATGGGACAGTCTCACCGCCTGTGGTAAAGACCCACCAAGTCAGCCCAGCCTTCTTCCCCACACAACACTAAGACAGTGGAGCATGAAAAGGCAATGGGGGACAGACAGGAGGAAGTGGTCTTTCTCTTCCCTCAGCCCCACCTCTCACCTGAGACACAGTCCTGTAGCAACAGCAGCAGGAACATGAGAGGCCATGGCTCCATCCAGAGGAACAGTCACAGTCACTGGGGGAATCTAGGACCCACACTGACCCCGGGCATGCCACTTAGGTCTACCAGGGAGGGATGTCAGTTTCTAAAAAGTACAGTTGCCTGTTTGGGGAAGTGAGGCGTGTGGCACACAGTGCCCCAGCAGAGCCTATCACAAGAGTGGGAGAGCAAGTGAGGGTGGGAGCTGGCTGGTTCCGCCCTCTTCCTCAGAACTGCTGGCAGGTGTGGCTGTTCCACCCAGTCCTGGGGCCCCTGGGCCTGGCGAAGGCTGACAACCAAAACCTCTGTGATTCTGTACAGAAAACCAGATCTATTGCCTCATCCAAGAAGTCTGGTCCACTCAGGGACCTGGAGGGGAGGCTTCTGGGACATTCCGTACAGACTTTATGGGATCTTCTGGGTCCAGAGGTTCAAGTGCTCTCTGGCAGTCCTTGACACTCCTTCACAAGGAAGGCCATATGTCTGGTGAAGTACATTCCTTCCATCGTGTCACCTTGACCCCGACTCCCAGCTGCTTACATCAGTAGTTCCTGCTCACTGTTGCAAATAGCAACTCACAGACTCACGTGCAGTCTCATTTTTGTCATGGGGAGACATGCAAATTTAGAAACTCCCTCTTACACACATAAGGCCTCTCCCTTTTCCTAGCCACGCTTTTCTCTGACTCTGTCCATCCTTGTGTTCCTCCAGGGAGTCTCTAACTCACCTGCCAGCTCTCTAGAGCCTTCCACTCCTCCCTGACTCCCAGGCTTCTTGAAATACAGTAACCCTTCCCCTCCCCCATCTCCTCTCAGATTACCCTGCCCTCAGAGCTCCTCCCTCCCCTTGTTCTGCTGGCTTAGACACCACCAGAGCAGTGCTAGCCCCTCATTTCCTGTCCTCAGCCATATCTCTCTCCCACAGCCACCGGGCTCTAGATGAAATGACCCAGCATTTGGCCCAAGACTCCACCCTTCCCTCAGTCCCCCAAGAATCACAAGGTTCTGCTGACGTCCAACAGCTGTGCAACCCCATGATTACATGTGTTCCCCCTACTTGTTTAGACCACTGAATAAAAAGTCCTCCAATTCTGCACAGCCATAGTCTTAACATGAACTTGAACTCCCAAATGCCAGACCAAAGGAGTTTTAGCTTTGCTCACTTCAAACTGCTCACATCTTTTGACTCATTCACTCATTCATTCATTAGTTCTTACAAGCTCCTTGCTGTGCGTGGCCCTGGACACTAGAGGCAAAAGAATAAGACACACTTGTCCTGTAAGGGTTCTGATGTGGCATTCAGAGGGGACACTGAGACACGTTATGTTTTGGGGGGAGAATTGTATCCAATGCTGTGAACACAAGGGAGGAGCTGAACCTTCCACAAGGCTGGCTGCCTGACTCACTAATGGCTCTCCTTGCCAATTTCATCAGGCTCTCACCAACTTGACACCCCACCAAGATGACTGTACCTTAAACTGCACTCCCAAGCCGATGAAGGCGACGGCAAGATGGCTCAGCAGGCAGAGGCACTTGTTGATGAGCCTGAGGACCTGAGTTCCATTTTCAGTCACATAGTGCAAGGAAAACCCTTAC